AGTTGGAATCATACAGAACATAGCATTTTTAGATTGGCTTCTTTCACTGAGTAATATGCATTTATAAGGTCTTCCATGTCTTTTCATGGCTTGATAGCTCATTTCTCTTTAGTGCTGAATAATATTCTATTATCTGGATGGACCACAGTTTATCCATTCACTTACTGAAGGACATCTTAATTGCTTCTAAGTTCTGGCAATTATGAATAAAGTTGCTATAAACATCCATGTGCAACTTTCTGTGTCAACATAAATTTTCAACTCATTTAGGTAAATACCAAGTAGTACAAATGTTGGTTGAAGGCGCCTCTATACCTCTTCGCCATGGTCTTCACAATTGTTGTGTTAACATTTTTGTTTCAAAATTACAGAACATACTTTCTCACATGTGGAACTTGTATTTGGAGTATAAGCAAAAAAAAAAAAGAGGAAAAGAGTCCAGAATAACTCCAAGATCTCTGGCCTGAGCAACTAGAAGGAAAATGTTATCATTTACTTAGATGAGAAAAGAGTGGAAGGTGTAGACTGGCAGTGCAAAGAGGGGGAGCTTAATAAATTTGAGATATATTTGAGATCTCCAAGTGGAAGTGTCATGGAGGAAGCTGGATATGAGACTGAAATTCAGTGAAAGATATCTAGGCTGAGGATATAAATTTTAGGGCTGTCATGAGCCCAACACCATAAAAGAAAAGAGAGTAGGGGACTAGTTCCAGGGGTATGATAACGTTTAGAAGATGGGGAGGGGGAAAGGATTCAGCAGAAGAAAAGAGAAGGAGAATTCTGTGAAATAAGAAAACCAGGAGAGTGTGAACAAGTGTTTTACTGAGGAAGGTGTGATCAACTGCACCAAACGCTGCTGACTAGTCAACTAAGGTGAAGACTGAGAACTGACCACTGGATTCAGCAATGTGGAAGTTGCTGGTACAATAATTTCTGTGGAATAATGGGGAAAGCCTGATTGAAGAAGGCTCAAGAGAGAAAAGGAGGAAGGGGAAGTATCTGGTACAGGCAACTATTTTGAGGAGTTTTACTATGAAGGCATGGAACATACTGAAGGAATGTGGAGTCATTTTTAAAATGGAAGAAATTATAAACTGCCTGTTAACGGGTAAGAAGAAAACAATAAAGGAACAAATATGATGAAAAAGCAGAGAGAGGAGAAAGAGGCTGGAGTAATGTGGGTGAGAGAAGGTGGGATCACAGCATAAGCAGAGGGGCTGGCCATAGACAGGAACACAAGGAGTTCATCCAAAGTAACGAAATGTATGACACAAATGAAGATGGGTAGGCAGAAGTGGCGGCAAGAGCCTGAAAAATTCTTTTATGATTACTTCTATTTTCCCAATGAAATACAAAGTGAGGATATGAGCAAAGAATGAAATCAAGGAGAATGTGCTGAAGGTTTGAGAGAAAAGAGAGGAAAAAATCATCTCCTAGAGAGCAGAGTTAACAAGTGAATGAACTAAAAACATTAATAAAGACTATGTGATAGCATTCCAGGTCCACTAGACATAGAATTACAGTGATATTAATCTGCATGATTGTGGTTTCTCTCCAGGAATATTCAACTGCAACATACATGTGTGAAGCAGGCTAAGTTATATTTGACTATGGTTGGAGTTTTGCCAGAGGAGTAGGATGATGAAAAGGAGGAGCAAGGGCGTGATGTAATAACACACTGGAAAACTCCATAGAAAGAGGGGAAATACGGACAAGAGAGTGAAGGAGAGTGTGAACTGAAGTCCTGGTGGGGGTGAAGAACTGCCAGAACTGGAGTCCTTGAGGGAATGAGTTAAAAACATAAAAGAGATGGTGGTTTTGGAGGGTGGGACTCTGGAAAATGAGATTTTGGAGGGGCAGTTTTGGTAATGACAAGATCAGTGGTCTGACCATGGAAATAAGGAGCTGAGGCAGGCAGGAAACAGGATCATTAGAAAAGATGATGCTAAGGAAATGAAAGTACTAGAAGGATTATCTACATGGGTATTGAAATCATCCAGAATTATGGCAGGAGTAATACCAAAGAAACTGAAAGCAGGAGCTAAAATATTCACAAAATGACAGACAGTGGCTGAGGAGTCCAGATGGCAACTGTAATAGAGGCATAGGTAGCAGAATTATGAGGTTCAAAGGCGGGGGTTTACTGAGAGGGAGGTGGCTGAGAAGTGGAAATGAGGTGCCAGTGGGACACCTATCCCATCTTTAGATCAGTATGAGGGACGTGGAAGAGGAAAAGGGGGCCCCTTGAGAGGACTACAGGGAAAGCAGTGTCCTCAGAGAAGCCCTAGGTTCTCTTAGAGTAAGAAACTTAAGGAAATGTTCAAAAAAGATTTGAGGACATGGGGTTTTGCTGATGATCGACCGTGAGTTCTAGAAGGCACACTGGCAGGGTTTCAGGAGTTGAGGAGCAGTGGGAGGTGAGGTCAGAAAATGGATGACAGAGCCATACAAGGTGAGTCTGGGAAACGGAGGAAAATGTAGGATTCTTGAAGAGACTGACATAAATTGAGGTAAGTGGTATACTGTCATTAATCCAAATGACCACAAGGCAGATGAAGATGACAATGCTGTGAGTGGTGGGGATCAAGGACCAGGGATCAGGGATTTGACCAGACTGCTGACACTGATATGGGGGCCAGAGAAGGGGAGCTCCTCATTTACTCCCAGATCTTAAACATTTCCCCAAAGAATCACAATAAGCCAACTATTTGAGACAGCAGTATGTATAGCACCTTGCAATCTTTACGGGTTTGGGCCCGATGAGAACTCATAATGAATAAAGCTAGCAGTTACCAAGGACCTGACATTTTGTATACGTTATTATACTTCATTTTTACAACAATCCCAAAAGGGAAGTATTATCATTACCGTTTTATACATGGGAAACTAAGGCTAGAGAGATTAGTGTACCTTACATGCCACCTCAGCTCCCAAAGATCCCAAATCCTATATATAATCCAAAATGGCAGAATTTCATGTGAAGAAATCCTTTACTTTGATAAAGATAAAAACTTCTCCTGCACTCCAGGCAAATAAAGTTAATTTGCAAAGACTTATGATAGCCCTTTCTCTGAACAATCCAATCTGAGCATAATATTTCTTTATGACAGTCCAATAAACTGGGGAGAAAATTTAGCTATACATTATTCTTTAGTTCTGATATATATGTGTGTATGTGTGCACATATATAAAAGTACATATATATATATATATTTTTTTTTTTTTAAGCCTACCTCCACAGAGAATTTTACAAGGGCTGAAGGAATTCAATCAACAGAAGACAGGTGCATCAGCATGTATGAAGAACTGTGAAGAAGTTAGTTCATGGACCAAGTAAGCTACAAAAATCAAAGAAAAAGAAAAAAGGAAGAGAAACAGAGGTTTTCATTTCATATGCCCCAAAGTTACAGAAAACAACAGGCAGCATCAGAATTTTAAAGTTAAATACAGATGAACTAAAGGGTAGTAGAAAAAACAGCATTACTTGAAATCATCATACATTGAATACTACTTCCAAATAATTGAAAATAAAGCAAAAACTTTAATTAATGAAGACATAATTGCCACAGAGTTGACAAATATATTAATCTTTTAGTAGAATCCATGATAAAATAACCTATGAAGATGTTACATAAACTACCACAATTAAATAAAAAAAATTTTCTTACACAAAGAAGCAAAATTTGAAAATATGTCATTAAAATTCCAGTCAAGTTTCAGCAGGATTTACAAATAACACTCATTTAATGCTCTTATTTCTGAATTTGGGATGTTGTTATGAACAACTTGTTACTTTGGGATTAATATCACTGCATTGTTTCCTAGTATTTTATCTGTCTGCATGTCCACCCAAGTCCCTTGAAAGCAGAGGAATATTTGTCAGCTAAATGGCCAAAAACACTGGCACAAGTAACAGCCATGAACTATGGATCCCAAATCAGTTTTGCATGAGAATCACCTGACGGACTTTTAAAACATATTCCAGAATTCTACCTCAGATTTTTGGAATTAGAAACCTGACGCTTAGAAACCTCTGTTTATAGAAAGATCTGCAGGTGTGTCTGATGTAAAGCCAGATTAAATAGAATAGAGCTGTGGGTTTAGATCTATGTTCTGAGGAGTCTTAAGATATTCAAGAAACACCTGTGGGTTTCTCTCACCTGTTTCAGCCAGAATAATCCCATTTTTATCTATTTTATGTATCTATTCTGCTTCTTAAAGCCTGGAAACTACAAGATCAGATAGGGCAAAGTGAATCCACCCCGATAAGAATTAAACTCATGATTCTGGCATCATAACTGACCTAATCCAAAGATAGAAGAGACTAGATAGATAAAAAGACCAGGATTGATGGACATAGAATATTTGATAATGCCAAAAGAAAAACCTTATGAGAACAGTTCTATAATTATACACTTTTACTTATTATAATTTAAAAGAACTTACTCAATACATGACTGAATTGCATACTAAAGTTACAAATGGAAAAAACACATAAATATATATGTATACATATATAGTATATGATATATATACATATAATACACACATACTACATATATATATATATATATATATGTAAAATATATATATATATATGAGGGAGGTAGAGAAGGCAATAGTATATCTGGGAAGGTGTTCTTGAGGAAATGATCACCCTAGGATAAAAATGATCAACATGAACACCGGTCGACTGGTCCCCATAACATAAGGTCTGGATCCTTTAAATACCTTTCAGGTGCCTCCCCTAATCTACTCTAACCCAGAAAACTATGTCATGTTGTGGAGAAAGGCCGGGAAGAATGCTAGTTTCCTCCCCTTCATTCTGTCCTTGGATATTTCCCTGTAAAATTTGGTCTATACAGCCTGACCTTTCAAAAGTCTCCATTTCAAGCACCCTACCTAATAATAACGTACACCTGCTGGACATTAGATTTGAGACAGCCTATCTGATGTATGTAGATATCTCGTCAAATAAATTAGCATAATAGTTTACTCACCTGTCTGTATACACATACTAAGCAGGAGGTGAACTGAGTAAGAAGCCAGGAGAGCAACTATCAGCAGCAAGAAACTACAATATAAAAGAGTACATGGTCAAATCCCTCTAAAAGTTTCTTTTTTATGGTATCTCATTACAAAAACAATTTTTTTCACAAACGATTACAGGGACTGTCTTTGAGTAATTGAATTATAGTCACTAAAGAAAGTAAGAAGATATTTTCTGTATTTACCAAATTTTATTTCAATGAAAATATACTGCTTTTAAAATAAAAAAAAAATCAGAAAAAAACACACTTTATTTAAAACAAAAAATAGCACTCTTGTCTGCTGACTGCTGGGTCAGCCATTCAGTGATCTTGCAATATATCCCTTTTATGACTATTTTTCTACTCTAAGTATAGAGGGAAGTTTCAGTTGTGAAATCTCATTGTCCTTTTTCCCCTTTCCTCTTTCCTTCCCCTTCCAATGCTATGTGCCTCCCCATTATACTTTCATCTATAATTCTGAATTAAGACTGCATTTTTTAGCATCTACTAAACACAAACACGCACCAAATAACCCCAAAAATGAAGTTAATACACTTCTAATGACACAACTTGAAAATGTGCAATGCAGTAACTGAGGTCCTCTCACAAAGTGTCAAAAGAAACAGGCATAATCCCTACTTCTTCTCAGGAACGTACTGGCTGGATAAGCTTCTAGAGACCTGACCCCAGTGGTTGAAGACATTCTACCTTTGTACTTAATATTTGTTAATAAGTAGCAAAACTGAGAGGCGAGAGTACACTTGTCAACTGTTATCAGAGACCTCACAAAATAACAGTCTGACATCACCAAATGGAAACTGTGATATGATTCAGCAAGCACACATTCTGTGGTACAACATCTGCATGTAAGACCCTGGAGGACAAAGTGTGATTTCTCAAAATGAACTAAAAAATAAGTCCTATGATTCTGTCCTGCCTAAGGTGTCATATATAGCTTTGAAGTTTAAAAATTATGAAAGTTTGTGAATATATCCCATCATAAAAGCAAGTTGGGTAACTTAAAAGTTGGTTTGCTAATCAAGAAATTCAAAATAAATGCAAAAGGAAACCTAAAGGAGAGTCTTCATGTATTTTAACTTCCCTGGAAAAATAAAAAATATGCTTCTACTGACAAAACAAACTTGTTCATTCATTCTATCAAGCATGGTGCTAGATGCTAAGGATAAGGTCTAGCCCTAAAGGATTTCAGAGTTTAATGGGGAAAGTAACTTGCAAACAAATCATTAATGTATTACAATAAAAAAATAAATATACAATGTACTATGGAAATACAGAAAAGCCAGCAATGTCTTCTATTTGGGGCAAACTGGCATATGAGCTCAGTCTTAAAAGATGAAAAGGAATAAGCAAAGAACATACGTCCAGCTTCAGAAAGTGAAACAAGACTACTTAACAGTAGGAGGAGAAATGGAGATGGAGAGAAATGAAAGGATGATGTACTTTATTTACACTCCCAAAATTGCTATTTATAAGTAATCTGGCTGATAAACTTTGATTTACTTTGGCCAACTAGACACAACAAATAAGCCACTTCTTAAAGTTATAAACGAGTATGGATCAAGTTTCCATTTTTAAAAATTAGCCACACTTTGGATAAAAATACAAAGTATAAAGCATCCCTCCAAGCTACAGACTAGCTACAACAGAAGAGTAGCAGGAAAATGCTGTAACTCCAAAAATAACTTAACTGGAAATTGTATAATACCAGCATCTGCAGCCTTTATCTTTGCTTCTCAGGGTACCACCAAAATGAAAAAAAAAAACAAGTAATGGTAAAATAAGGAAAAGACTCACCTAAATCCAAGGATACCAGTATGAGCCATAACATAAGCTAAGCCAAGGATGCCACTTCCCATGATGGCATTCATCAAATTAAACACTGAGAGACCAAAGGAAACACCTGGGGATCCCTGTCTGTGATGTTCCTGTAAGCACACAAAATTTAATAGAGTTAAATGTCTGAATGAAGTTCAAATTTCATCAAGAAATGACTGACAGGTGATGGAGGAAGTCTGCAAACAGGGATCGTGTGACGCACTAGCTGCTCAACCAGCATTGGTTTCCTTTCCTTCCCTTCTTACCTCCCACTAGTGTAGCTCTATAATCTAGTTTCCTAAGAAAATCATATCCACCTGCACAGAGACCAAGCCGGCTTCAGTAAGAACCAAGACTAACCTTGTGACTGCAAAAGATGAAGAAAGGATAAAATGGGGTGGGGACAGAGAGCAGGCAGATGGCCTCAGACTCATGTGATTACTGAAGATTCCTGAGTCAGCTTCAGTAATCCCGAGTTAGTGGTTACTGAAAAGTCCCTGGGCTGCTGCAGAAAACTGTTGTTCCCCAATTACTAGGACTGCATAACTAATCTTTTTATACACTTAATGAATTAAGTCTGCCCAACTAGAAGAATGGTCAGGAATACCTTACAGTGAGGACATGATAAACAGAAGAAATTCACGTTGCTCTGGCGATGAAATTCACACTCTCCCTCCAAAAAGCATTTGGGAATAAAGTCCTAGGAACTGTTACTGCCATGGGACTTGAGTTAAAAAGCCAAGGGCCCCACTGCACAGTCTTTGGGGTCAGGGAAGTGCTACGTACTTATTACCAGTCCGCCTTCACTCCTTTGCCGTTAAGGATCTCTATATTAAGATGGTCATAGGTCCCCAATGACTAAGCCGAGAAAAGAAAAATCTTGTGACTCCTGCAAAACAAACAGACCTCACAAGACTGGTGGAGGAAACGAGAAGCCGACAAAGATAGCTAACAAACAGCAGTGAGTTACCTAACCCTGGGGCTGCTCCCCTAGTGGGGCCCCAGCCTCCACTCGCGGCTGCATCTCTTCCACCTGAGCCTGCACTTTACTTCAGCTTTTCTTTCTGTAACGGGTTAGGCCTCTATCCCCTTCATGAACTCCGCCAGATCTCGGAACCTCGGCTGCTGCCTTTGGGCCTCATGTCCCAAGCTTCTCCCCTTTGCCTCGCCATCCTCTTTCTTTTCCCGGTCTTATTCCGCAGGCACTTCAGAGAAGTGTGGGCGGCGAGCAAAGCCAACTTACGTTGCTTAGCAACGGGCTCAACTCTTCCGTTTCCGCCTCTTCGGTTTGCCGGGCAGAGACAAACCAGCCCGGCTCAGCGTTAGCGGTCCCCCAGGGCGCCTCCATGCTCCTCGCCGGCCGCCCACCCAGTCCATCCACGAGCTACTACCCCGGCCTTCCCGTCGGAAGTCGCGCCAGAGGCGGAGCTGTGCTCCCGGCCCTTCCGGGTTGCCGTACTTGACCAGGGCGGGGAAGGAAGGAGTCGACGAGATCTGATGACGCTCGTCCCGCGGGGGCGAGCAGTGATGGTGTCAGCGAGGGCCGGCCCTTCCACCGGAGACCCATTTCCGAGCTGCACTAGAGCATGAGGTGAGGGGTCTGGTCCGGGAGCCAGCTGCGGAGCGACGCCGGGAATTGGGATGGAGACGCTGCTGAAGTGGCGGCCGCGGTGCCCTTGGTAGTTCGAAGGGGCTGAGGGTGCGGGAACGGTACCCGTCCGCTGCGGGCAGATCTCCGCCGCGTGCTGTGTGCACGCGGAGACGGCGCGAGGTCACCCACCGCCGGGGTGTGGGTCTGAGTGCTGAGTATTGACAAGTCTGTTTAACGTTTTCAAAAGCTTTCTGATAGAGCCTTTAGCCACATTTTACGTGTGGAAAGCCGAGACTCACATTAAGTCATTTAGCCAAGATCACACATCTGGTTAACTTCTGGACCTAGTTTGAACTCTGTGAACTCTTGATAGTTGCTATTTACAGGGTCCCCGGGCAGGGTCATCTCCTGTTAGAGTTACTTCTTCGATATTCCAGACGGCAAAATGAATAACTGATACTGTTAATGGGATGTGCGTATCACACTCAGCAAAGTCCTCATCCTCAAAATACTGAAACCTCCATAGTTATAGGCAGGACTTGTGGCAGTAAAACATCGAAGACCAACAACACAGAAATATATTAAGACCAGAGGCTCTCCATTTTAATCTTTGCTTAGCCACTTACAAGCAATGAGACTTTGGGTCAATTAATCTACTTCTGAGTTTTAGTTTACTCAATTACAAAATGAGAATGTGATACCCACACACCTCCCAAGATTGATAATGTGTGTAAAGCATTTAGTACGACATCTGACCCTTAAGCTTCTTAAGCCCCCACAAGAATATCCTTTTAAATATTATATCCTTTTAAATATTTCCATTGGTAAAGTCATGTGTATAATAACCATTTCGTTTAGAGATGATCCTTTAACTCAAATTACGATAGGTAGGGTGATGGATCCCTAAGCCCTAGTCTTGGCAGCAGGTAGTTTGAAGGTGCAAATTTATTATTTACCACTAATAAAAGGCATCCTGTCTTGGAAAAGATAGTATACTTCTTACACACCACTGAAAGTTTCATTGTCAGCATGTAGCAGGTTATTTAAAACAGTAGAATTTCAATTTTTATTCTCAAAACCTATGGTGAACGTGTTAAGTTAGTTTGTAGCTTTATGGTATTTCTTCTAATGAATACTTTTTTTTTTTTTTTTTTTTAGGATCTTATGGAGGCCATTTGGATTCTCAAGAAGACTTCTCACAGTGAAAAGATGTAGAGTACCTGAACCAGAATCATTGATTCCAACAGCTGGGTCATCACTGATACAGAAGCCTAGCAGAGCACCTGGTATTTTCTTGTTGGATCAAAGGAAAAGATTCTCAACCATGCCTGAAATAGAAACAAATCAGAGAGACCCTGAATTGTTTTCACCACCCTCTGATGTTCGAGGAATGACAAAACTTGATAGAACAGCTTTTAGAAAGACAGTTACCATCCCAGTGCTTAAAGTGAGGAAAGAAATAGTCAATAAATTGATGCAGTCCCTTAAAAGGGCAGCACTGAAGCGCCCAGGCATAAAACGTGTGATTGAAGATCCAGAAGATGAAGGAAGTAGGCTAGTTATGCTGGATCCCTATAAAATGTTTACCAATGATTCCTTTGAGAAGGGAGAACTCAGTACTTTAAAGCAGCTGAATGTCAGTCCACAGATATCTAGATATAATATGGAACTAACTTATGAAAACTTTAAGTCAGAAGAAATCTTGAGAGCTGTGCTTCCTGAAGGTCAAGATGTGACTTCAGGGTTTAGCAGAGTTGGACATATTGCCCACCTGAACCTTCGCGATCATCAACTACCTTTCAAACATTTAATTGGTAGGTGTGTCTTAATAATATTCACATATTAGAGAACAATTAGCAAGTTCTAATTTTAGTTAAAAATTTTTTTAAATGCTGAATTACAGAAGCAAGGCATTTTATCATTCTCATTTTAAGCTGGATCTTGAGCTACATACTCTGTTTTTTGAAGGTCATTTTGGAATTCCCTTTCCAGAGTCATACAAGCTCTAAATAATGGTTCAGGCTCTTGTGTACATAATAAATAAACATAAACTTGAATCACTTGGTTTGGTAGAATTCTTTGGCAGCTTGTCATTTTGGTACCCAGGACTTAATAGGCCTTATAAATGCTAGGTTTCATAAACTTGAGTGTTTGATAGTCAGAAGGGCAAGACTGTGTACTCATGCTCTCACTGATTCAACTAACTGAGCCTCTTCTGTACGTCAGGCACCATACTTTGTTTTTTAGTGCTCCTAGCCTTTTAGAAATGATGCTGTGTATATTGTACCTCTGTAGCCCAAAGTTTGAGCCTGGATCTTTTATTCTTTGGGATAAGAAAGAACACTAATCAAAATTGCACTTGTCCTTAATGTAAATATTTAATGTCTATGAATTCTCCAGATGATTATTTTTTTAATGTAGTGTAATTGTCAGAACTGGGAATTCTTTTCAGATTTAAAATGTAGTGCTCAGTATTTTGCATGGGTAGTATTTAAGAGATATGCTATTGTGCATTTCCTTTGTTTTTATTGCTAAAAGGGCTGATAATTCATAGTGATAACATAATAAATACTTAAGTAGATCCTTATAATTATGACTGGGTGCAAATGTCAAGAATTGACTTTCCTATGAGTCATTGCCTATCCTAACTCAAACATTTCTTTTGGCACTCATTTTATAAACTCTCTTTCATAAAGAGTCACTCATAGGTTAAAAATGAAACATTTTCATATAGTGGTAATTTTAAAGCTTTTACTACAGACCTTCAGAATAGGGGAGTTTTTTTTCATTCCTCACTTCAAACTAACTTCTGTACCTTAAAAATTGAGTTCTGATAGCTGAAGCAGAAAAAATTAAGAAAAATGATTGACAAGAGTTTATTAATATCATATTCAAAATCAAGTATCTAATTATCAGAGAGAAATTGGACAAATTCTGGTTGTATTTAAGCATATTTTTACAAATCAAGTTATCTTTCCTTATACAATGAGATAACATACAGATTCTTACAAATTTTTAAGGGCTGACATAAAACTAGACTGGGGAAAGGGCATCAATATACCATTTCTGGCATATTTTATCTTTGTAGCTTTTTCTGCTCTGGCAAATATTTGACATAACGAACAGTTTAACTGAATGAACATTTTATTTAGATAAAATTGTATGGAATCTATGTTTCTTTTCTTTGAAAACATTATTTTGCTGGTATGTATTTCCAAGATGGAAGTATCTGTTTCAAATACATAATAAAGCATAAATAAATACATAATAGAACGTTGGTCTGAGGCCAATGGGGACAGGCTGGTGTTTTCTGAGACCATTTATTCCCACAGTCCTTCTATCTCTTCTATTTTTGTTTAACCAATTCTCTATGGTCTACCTGTTTCCTCATTGTTATAGCGATACATTTGAGAGGATTAAATAAAAAACATGGAAAAATATTAGGTAGAGCAAAACTCCTCAAAAATTTTTCTTTATAAATGTATCCACACATTTTTTTTTGTGTTTGTATTGGGGGCTGTCAGACATTAACGTTAGTAATCTGTTGAATTTTTAGAATTGCATGCTTCTTTACAAACACTAGATGCAGTTTTTGTCTATAAATCAAAAGAAAATTTGATTCACGTCCATTTCATATTTGCAGTTTTAGCTTTTATTTTGTAACCAAAGTGCAGTATTTATTATGAATTCTCTTCTTTTAGGCCAAGTTATGATTGACAAAAATCCAGGAATCACCTCAGCAGTAAATAAAATCAATAATATTGATAATACCTACCGAAATTTCCAAATGGAAGTGCTAGCTGGAGAGGAGAACATGATGACCAAGGTATGGAGTATTTTATTGTCTCCTAATACTGTGTATATCAAGATTAATGTTTAAAATAAAAATAGATGACAAAGATTAAAAATATTTAAAATACCCAATATTGATGAGTATGTGAGAATGTGAGCATTTACATATACTACTGGTGGGAGTGAAAATTTGATACAGTCAGGAAGAGTGTATGGTAATATACTGCAGTTATGATTAGATACATTCTTTGACCTAACATTCCACTTATAGGAAGTTATCTCAAGGATATAATTATACAGAATGATGTATATACTAGGTTCTACATCATAATTTTTATAATAATAAAATAAATAAAGGAATAGAAACAACCTAAATGTTATCAGTAGAGAATTGATTAAATTCTAGTATAAAAATACAATGGAATACTCCATCATTAAAGATTATTTAGCAGCATACTTAAATTGTCCATTGACAGGTTAAGCGAAAAAAGTAAATTGTAGAACAGTGTATATAACATGAAATATCTATATAAATATGCATCTACATCAGAATGTTAACAGTAAGCATATTTTTATTTGGTGTAGTTACTGGTGACCTCTGTTATCACCTTTATACTTTTCTACTGAGCACTTTTTTTTTAATAAAACAAAGCTATTTCAAAAAAATAATTTAAAATATGTAGGAACAGATTCCTGGTATAAACCACTTTCTCAATCCTCCACCCCCAAAATCCTCCGGAGTGTTGGATATAGGAAACTTTTTTGAAGCCAAAAGCCTTAGATAATTATATGTTAACATTATGTGAAATTTTGTACCCAAGCTAGGAAATAGGTTTAAACTCTCTCCATAACTTGACAAAGATTTTAATAACAAAAGCCACTCTTAAAATGTTAGACATATCTTTTAAACAGGACTTTATACAACTCAGGAGAGAATTTATTGCAAAATAATTATTTTTTTTAAGATTCTGGACCACATAGACATATTTTAAGTATAATACTTCTCCAGAATTTAATAGTGTCAGAATTTAAAATACCATTTACTGTAATATACACTTACTAGGTCCTAAGCTAAATGCTGTAAGTATAACAGATCCTAAGAAACCCACAAGATAATGATTATTGTTGTTACTATTTTCTTTATTCAGATGAAGTAATAAGGAAAGACTGCACAGGGTGTTTGGAGCCACGCTTCTTACTCCAGAGTCCATGCATGGTCTTTCCCTGTATACCAAATCTCCACTGCCTACTACTTGTCTATAATGCATGAGGTCTGTTATGGCAAGTAAAATTTGAATGTGAATCCTCTAACAACAGAGTAACAGTGCTTATCTCTGGACACTAAGGCATACTAAACTTTAGGTATGCCCTGATTGAACATTGTGCAGTGTAATAGGTAGTGTCATTCTCAGAGAAGATCTTAAAGTTCTGAGAAACTTCTCTAATTTTATAAATGCCGTGTGATTGATTTCCTAAGTCAATGAAAGTTTGTTCTTAGGATATATTTTATACCTAATATTTATACTGTCAAATACATGTAAAAGCTCAGTATAATTTCTTTCACATTTAAGTTTAACTTTTGGAGCTCATGCAACATTTAAGTACTATGTGTATATATTGTGAGTTAAAAAGATTCCTAAAATGAATCTACTGATAAAGTAATGCTAAGGGAGTGAGATATCAAAGACAGCATGAGTAAAACTAGAGGGTACTTAGAACCTAATTTTTTTTAAGTAGGCTGTGCTTCATGCTAGAGCTTAAAAGGGAGAGTAGAAAAGACATTTCAGGAAAAGCATCCCAAGACATATTTAAACCTTACAGGTTATAAACCTAGAAGGACTTTTAGTTGGCAGAATCACGAAGAAACATTTCCAACTCTGGAACCTTAATAATATGGCCAGAGAATCTGATGTGGTTGGGAGGAGAAAAATATGTACAAATTTGAATTAAGCTCCATGAAGAGAGACTATTCCAGATTTCTGTCTATAAGATTTATAGAACTTAGGAACTTTCTTGCCTTTGATTCTTCATTCATTAAAATAAGGGGCTTAAGACGACTGGTGAGAGTCTCGTTTAGGGAACTACATTCAACATCCTGTAGCAACCTATAATGAAAAAGAATATATGTATGTACATGTGTGATTGAAACATGCTGTACACCAGAAATCGACACATTGTAAGCTGACTAACCTTCAATTAAAATAAATCTTATGTATATATATAAAAGATGATGGGTGAGGTCATATTATACAACTGTAATTTTAGTTTTGTTTTCTATTTTCTATCATGTTTATGATAATCCCAAGAGAAATGCTACAAACTCTTAATTTTGTTCAAGACTTAGCTTCACTGTATACATTTAGTTTATCCATGAAAACTCAGATTTAGGAAAGGAGAAAACAGGGCACTGATTTGTTCTATACACTGGCTCTAATTTACAGCCATGAAACCTGCAGAGTGCATGTAACTATCTGAAAATTTAGCAAAATACCTCACAATTCAATGACACATGACACATCTATTATGCCTCCCCTGACAAACTGAAAACTGAGGAGGGAAGCTCGTTTGCTGTGTGGAAGTGCTATCTGCAACTTAGCTACCCACCGTGAAGACGTGTAGTGTGTTGTTTCAAAGTATAGGTTTTTTTGGTATCAGGTAACATAAGAGAATATAACTAAGACAGTCAGTTGGCCTATCTGAAAAATCCTTAGTGTGATTTGGGAACCATTTTATGGCCCTTTAGGATGAGCTGGAGAACCGTTTGGCTTTGAAATGATGACTTTTCTTATGAAAAAAAAGTCTAATGGAAGATATTAACTGGCATCAAGTATAGCATAAACACCAGAATTCTACTTAAAATGCCTTTAAATGTAGTTATTTGATCCTAATAGTAGTAAATTTAAATGTGTGTATGTGCGTGGGTGCATCCATTTTATATCAGTGACTGGAATTTAAGACTAAGCAATTTAACCAAAAGCATAATACCTTTTTTAGGTTCGAGAAAACAACTACACCTATGAATTTGATTTTTCAAAAGTCTATTGGAATCCTCGTCTCTCCACAGAACACAGTCGTATCACACAACTTCTCAAGCCTGGGGATGTCCTGTTTGATGTTTTTGCTGGGGTTGGGCCCTTTGCTATTCCAGTGGCAAAGAAAAACTGCACTGTATTTGCCAATGATCTCAATCCTGAATCCCATAAATGGCTACTGCACAACTGTAAATTAAATAAGGTGGACCAAAAGGTGAAAATCTTTAACTTGGATGGGGAAGACTTCCTCCAAGGGCCAGTCAGAGAAGAGTTAATGCAGCAGCTGGGACCACTGTCAAAAGAAAGAAAACACTCTGTGCACATTGTCATGAACTTGCCAGCAAAGGCTATCGAGTTTCTCAGTGCTTTCAAATCACTCTTAGATGGACAGCCATGCAGCAGTGAGCTCCTTCCCATAGTGCACTGCTACAGCTTTTCCAAAGATGCTAATCCTGCTAAGGATGTTCAGCAACGAGCTGGAACTGTGTTAGGCATCTCCTTGGAGGCATGCAGTTCAGTTCACCTAGTAAGAAATGTGGCCCCTAACAAGGAAATGTTATGCATCACCTTTCGGATTCCTGCTGCTATACTCTACAAGAACCAGACCCTGAATCTAGGTGAGCAATTTCTGGGAAATTAAATGTAAGCTGTAATACTTTTCATATAGCTTTCTTGGGCTACATATATATTTTATATTATTTTTTAAAATTTGGAAATAGGCTAAACTAATTCTAGTTACATATTTCAGTTCAAGGCCCCTTGCCATTCAATTATGACTACATTCTCACAATTTTACAGATTTTAGTATGACATACTATTCAGTCTAGTAGAAAGCTATTTCATTAAAATAATAAATCCACAGGAATGTTACTATTTCATGCATAAGTTGAGGAGACAAAAAGTCTTTAAAATGCCTATATTATTTACTTTTAAAAAGCATTTTCAGATGTTAAATATCTTACCTAATACAGGTTTTCTGGGTTTGTTACAGAGAATCACGAAGATCCACCTCTTAAACGCCAGAGGACAGATAAAGATTTTTAAGAAGAAAAAACACAAATTGTTTCAGTCACTTAATTGGAAATATCTTCTGCATCTCCTTACTAGACCTTTATGTAGTGAAATATAATTTGTATGATTTCATAAAATTTTAGCATTTAGTTACTTTAGTATTGAACTCTTGTATTTTGAACTTCCTACCTTATAAATTAAGGGTTATCCAATTAAACTGTAAATAAGTCTACTAAATACATTTTTATTATCTGAGTTGTATGATTTTGTAATCTGAAGTATATCTAATTTTTTATTAGATAAATATATTTAAATATTGTCTTTCTCTTGGGAAAATAGTTTTTGAAGGTAGGATAATTGCATGCTAACTAGGAAAGCACTAATAATTTTACAGTTATCCTTAGTTGACATGTGTAGCAAAGTTTTACATAAGTACTCCTACACTATCACTATAAAAAGTCATAACAAATGAGATTATTTAGATTGGAGATAGGCAAACTATGTCCAGCAGGCCAGATCTGGCCCACCACCAGTTCTGTATGGCAAGTGACCCTTGAATGGTTCTTACATTTTTAAATGGTTGAAAAGGAATCCAAAGAAAAACATTTTGTGACATGAAAATTATATAAAATTTGAATTTCAGTGACCATAAATAAAATTTTATTGGAACACACCATGCTCATTTGTTTATTTACTGTCTCTGGCTGCTTTCATGATGTAATAGCAGAGTTGAGTACTTGGAACACAGATGGATTATGATTCTCCTCACTTCATACTGCTGCTCAACTCAGCACACTACAAATCAGTGACACAGTTAAAACTCAGCAGCATTTGAGTGCCGTGTATATCACCAAGCTGTAACACTTTATTATTACCAGTGTATATCCATCATTCCAAAACAAGTGGACGTCCAATGTGCTTTCAAGACACAGTAGAGTATGAATTTTTCTGATGCTGAATTAGATGACAAAGCATCCCTACCTGAGCTAAACTACAATATTCTTTGACATTTCCAAAAGAAGTACTCAGCACAGTATTTCCAACTCACAGGCAAGCAACTGTAAGAGAAATTAAAAATTTAAACTGGAAATACAGCAGAATTACATGTGAAGAATCACAAAAAATGAAAATGAGGCTACAGTGAAAGTAAGTCTCCAACTGACTCTTGTAAGTCAATCAAGGAAAACCATTTACTGATGGGTAAGTTAATTTGTTTGAAAGCAGCAGTCTAAGAAATGTGTTCAGAGAAAGCAAACTTGTTTAAGGCTGTTGGCCTTTTGCAAGGATAGTCACTCAAGAGTTGAGAACATTGGGAGCAACATCAATAGTCAGAAAGGTAAATGAATCCGAGTTGATAGATGTTACTAATACTGCTCAGTTCTTTTCTATTTGAGGCGTCAGTGCTGAGTTTGAAGTTAATTGAAGAATTAGCCTCTGTGAATACTCTGCATGGAACAACTACTGGTAAATAGTTTCAAACAAGTTGAGAAAAATAATTCTGTAAAACCTGAAGTGGAATCTGATGTGTTATAACTGATAGTAAAAAAAAAAGTGAGGTAGAAAAAGATCTAATTGGAGAAATTTACAAAGCTTATGAAAATGCAAGGTGTTTAAAACCTATAGCTATTCATTATATTATTCACCAGCAAGTACCCTGCAGCAAATATTTGAATCTGTTATGTGTTACTGAACCAGTAGTGTCCATGGTAAACTTCATTTGCTTTCATGGACTTAACCACCCTCAGAGTCCTTGAATTTTGTCAGAAATTGAAGCTGAATTTCCTGACTTGCTTAGCCTAAGTTTGATTTGCTTAGTATTTGTAAAGTTTGACTGCAATTTTTTGGGTTTAGGGCAAGACTGAAATTTTTCTTAAGAACCAACCTTAAAACACTTCTAGAATACTGGATGTCTTTGGAAATTAAAGAGTTGATAATATTTCTTAACGATTTCAATCTACAATTACAAGGCAAACATAACTTTAATGTGAAACATACTACAGTAGTCATTTCAACAACTGACATTTGAATCAGAATATCCTGTTACACATTTCTCAAGCTATCAATTAAAACGAAACAAGATTCCCATTCTCACACAAATTAGCAGTGGATACATTTCCTGAGTTCAGCATTTTGGGAATCTTGGTGCAAATGCAAAGAAAACTTACATATTTCCAAATCTATTTAATTACAATTGAACTTCCATCTAATCTTCAATTGGAAGAGACTGAGTTATTGTAATGACATGCTAAAAGGCAAATACCAAGGGATTAATAAGAGTTTTACAAATACCTCCAAAGTGATGTATATGCTCAGTTAAAATCACATGCTTCTAGACTGTTACCATATTTGGCAGGATCTGTGTGAAGATTTTACATAAGATACACATCTTTTAAAGATGAAATACATAAAATTTCATTACAGATAACCAGTAATTGGTGATCATTTACAATTCATTTTGATGATGGGAAACAACCCCAATTAAAAGGAAATGTTATTTCCCCTCAAAAGTACTACAAAGAAGGTAATTTTATTTTGAATTTTGTTAATTAAAAAAATTGTGCCAATTTATTTTATCTCTTCTTTACCTACATAATGGCCTCACTTTTGCCTCTTAGTCCATAAAGCCTAGAATATTACTCTCTGGTCCTACAGAAAAAGTTTGAGGACCCTGATCTAAATCATTAATTACAAACTCTGTATGATCTTGGTCTACTCAATTATTTGATGCCTTGGTTTTCTAATTATCAAAGATAGTTAGAAGTATTGTAAAGATGAAGATGTACTCCTGAAATTAATACCTGCCTAGTCAAATAAGATGGTGGTGTTACATATGGATATTCCACCCTAATGTAACCACAAATCTTTTTCACATAACTTTCCACTCATAAAACTAACATCTGTTGTAATGGAGACTTGATAGGAAATCCCTTAATTTCCTTGAGAAACTATGTCCCATACCCAGTGGTCTAGGTAACAGACTTGTACAAGGTTGAGATGCTACAAATATCCATCTTATCCACATTCAAACTCTTTAAGCAACATTCTGGGTATAATAAAGCTTTTGAAGTTTCAACAGAAACTACATCAGGGTCTGCAATTTACTCATAGGGAAATTTCATTTAAAATGTATTCATTCCAGTCTCCAAGGTTTCATCATAAAATGAGCTCACATTTGAGGTGAAAGGTGCCTTTTAAGTATTAAATTTTATTAACTTACTTCTTTGAATTTGTCATTAAAGCAGGTTAATACTCTGCTCTGTTTTATCCTAAGCAAGGCTCACAGCTGGGAACTATAACACATTGATCAAGTTTTGTCTCACTCTCCACTGCTCAAAACAGGCACTGAGTCCTTAATATTGAGAGAGTGACATTATCACAGGTCAGGTTTTACTTGCCACAACCTGCTAGTAGAAGAAAATATATCCACTTGTCTGGCCTAGTATTAAGAAGACATTGGGAAAAAAATGGGACATTTTATGAGAAGAAATAATAGACTTGGGTATTAACACTAAATGTCGTATTCAAAATGGCATTTTTAAATGTGTTCAAGTAAAACACTGTAATAAGAGAAAAACCACAAAACTTAATATAAAGTCTAGCTTTATTTTTAAAAAGATTTTACAAGTCTGTCAACCTCAAACATACACAGGCGAATTATTCATATCTTCCATCAGATGAGGCTTACAGCTTCAATCCCTCTCAGAAAAAATAAGTAAAAAATAAATCTTTTTCACAAATATTTATCCACTATATTACTCAGCTTAGTTCTGAAATTTTCTCTCTATAAATACTTTAACACAGCTGCTAGTGGTAGTGCTGTTGCTGTGCAGCTGCATATGGCTATAATTTTACAAGTCTGCTTTACTTTTGCTAGCTCCCTGGTTCGGCTCCAAGGTCCAGATCTTATAGAGGAGAAATAAAGGTTAACTGGGCTGCCAGAAAAGCCCACTGAATGCATCCTGTAGTGCTCTGTGACAAGCAAGGGAAGAAGTATAGCCTCCAGCAAGGTCCTGTGGAGAGGCAGCTCTGACATGGTTTAAATACCTAAAACAAAACAAAGAGTGCAGCATTGATATACAAAGCGCTTATAAATTGTTAACACTTTAAAAAGCAGTAGTAAAACTGATTCAAATATTAAAGAGGAATCCCAAGACCGAAATGTTCAGATTTAATAAATGCATTATTACCTTTTAAAACTTTAAATTGTAAAGCAAATTACATTAAGATCTAAAAACAGCTCTGAAGGAGGTTTCAAAAATAATACTTGCTATTAAAATGTCCCTTATTCCCAGTTTTCAGAGCTAATTAGTTTTGTTGGCTGTTGCTTGGGTACCTAACTGCCGCTCGCTCCTGGCATACTCTTAATAAATAAATATACATCATAGTACTATTGTATTACTAATATTTTTACATAAATATTGAATATTTTACATAAATATGTTCTGAAAAAATACCTAAGCAAATGAAAAAGGGGAGATAACATACTAGTTATTTCAAAGTTACTTCAATATTACAAAAATATATTGTCTCCCTCCTTACAGGAAAGGAAACCTTAGAACACATGTCCAAGAAATCTCTGAGACTGAGCATGAGTTTAAAAGAAGGTCCCAATGAGTAAATACAGAAGAGCCTTTTGAATCGATCTCAAGACTGTAACAGACACTATTTTTCTTTAATTACATATGTTATTTAGCAATTAAAACTTTCTACCTTGATAAAAGTACACAAACAGGCCTTAAAAAAATGGGACAATCTTAGCCAAAGAGGGGCAACTTGCTGGCATGACTACCAACACTGCTGGAAAACAAATATTTCCAGCTTTGCTTTAATGCCTAGTTTAAGAAACCACATTGTTTCTTCAGGCCTCAGGAAGTAAAGGAGCTTCACTCGCCTTAGAATTACGGGCATGGCAAATGAATAAATCAGGTACCAGAACATTTTAATAACTTGGAAACTTTTCTACTCATTCATTCAGACTTCCTGTGTGTCAAAGTCTTGATGCATGAGCAACTTATTATTTCTAACATAATAACAAGTCTGTTTTTCATTTGTATCCATGTTTAATACGCTTGTGTGATTAAAAAATATATGGCAATATAAGGCCAAATAGAAAAAGTGGTCAAGGTAAGACACAGCATAAGCTCCTGGAATTGGCTGTAATTTATTCACATTGCCACAAATCAAGGTGTTAACTCAATTCTTTGCTTTTCTGCCAAGGGTAAAAGGGAAAAGTGAAAGGAGAAAGGAAATTAATATTTATTGAGCAACGATCTCCAAACTTTTTTGACAGTATATTTATAGCAGTAAAAATATTTGAGCAAGCATCTCCAACATTTGTATACTTACATACATAAAGTATTAATATATTATATATTACTATATAGTATATAAATATACAGATAATATATTAAGATAGTAAGTATATTATAAAATACATATAACTTAAAACACTTAAAGGATGAGATTAAAATATTTAAATAAAAGTCCACTATCTTCTCCCTGCATACCGTGGTGGGACACATCCCACTCCAGAGACTACTGTTATATAGTCACTGTCAAACTCTGGATAAAACTTTGGGTCCCACAGGATTTAAATAAGGATTCATCAGACTTACCACTTGGCCATAAAGGTATCTGCTTATTACCTCCCAGGATACAATAAAATGTT